TGCCCCCCCCCCAGGAGGCCTGTGGCCAAAACCTCAGAAAAATCAATGATTTTGGCAGTCTCGCCGAGGCCTCTTGGAGCGTCTTGGGTGCCTTTGGGGGGCATCTTGGGGCCTCTTGGGGGTCGCTTGGGAGCCTCTTGGGGGCATACTCGGGGCCTCTTCGGGGCTTCTTGGGGCCACATGGGGCCATCTTGGGGCCATCTCGGGGCCTCTTGGGGCCTCCTGGGCGCCTCTCGGGGCCATCTTGGAGGAGATCGATCACAGGAGGGGGGGTACTAAATTAGCCACTCCCACTCAGGAGGCCAAAATGGGGCCAAAATCGTAGTAAAACCAATGATTTTGGTTTCCTCGCCGAGGCCGTTTTGGACGCTCCAACGCGTCGCGGAACCTCCCGTCGAGGTCCAGGGGAGGGGGTAGGGGGAGGGGTAAACCCCTCCCCGAGGACATGCCCAGAGGGCTGATGGGATTATTCGGAGGAGGTGTTTGGAAGACCTCATTGGGCGGGAGATCTAGAAATGGGATTAACGGACCCCGCTATAAAACAAGAGTCCCCCATGATGTGGATGGTTATCATGATGGTCGCATGCTTCGTGTGAAAACATCGCGCATGAGGGCAAAATGATTGTTGTTGTTGGTGTTGTTGCTCTTGTTGTTGTTATTGTTGTTGTTGTTGTTGGTGGTGGTGGTGGTGGTGGTGGTGGTGTTGTGTTTGGTGTCGTTGTGTTGGTGTTGTTGTCGTTGCGCTGTTGTTGTTGTTGTTGTTGTTGCTGTTGCTGTTGTTGGTGCCGTTGTTGTCGTTGTTGATGTTTGTTGTTTGTTGTTATCGTTGTTATTATTGTTGCTGTTGTTGTTGTTGGTGTTGTTATGGTTGTTGTTGTTGTTATTGTTGTTGTTGTTGCTGTTGCTGTTGATGTTGATGTTGCTGTTGCTGTTGTTGTTGTTGTTGTTGTTGTTGTGTGTTTCTGTCTCGCCTCCAGGACGACATCGGGCCCACCATCGTGTGGTGCAATCCGAACGCCGGCTTCTATGAGCCTCCGCCGGCATGCAGACCGCAAGCAATTCGAGCACGCTACCAGAGGCGCATCGGCACTTGGGATTGTTCACGCACAGCAGGAGGATATTTGTTCATTTTGGTGTTGAAGAGTGCGTTGAAGCGTGCATTTGCGAGTTCATTGTGTCCAGGCGGCCAGAACGGGGCCCGAGAATATGAGGTCGGAGGATGGCGCCTCATCACCGATGCATGGGTATGCGGCTCGATTCGGAATCCGATGTTCTCCATCCTGACGTCGCCGATACATTGGCGATGCGGCGCGATCCCCCGACCACATCTTCTACGACCCTGTTTTGGCAGCCTCAGTTGTGGGCACAAGTCACGCCTGATGCACTGAGGTTTCACGCCCGTTACTGCGCCCGGTGTGTGGAGTCCCTCGGAATTGCTTGGCATCTTGCGGGCCCGCGCCCGTGCTGCTGCATGCTTGTACGTGTCCGTGCGACCACGTATCCGCGGGATCGCGCCCCGGAATCCAGACCGCGAGGGTGCGGATACGGGTATGTCTGCCGTTCGTGAAAGCTTGCGCGGGTGCAGGAAACGATGGTGTACGACTCGCAGTGGCTGGAGTTCTACCTGTCACACGGCTGCGACGTGTTCCTTTTCAACTACCGGTGCGCCTCTTAGGGGCAACGCTTGAGGGGATAGCATCAACCTGGAATCAGCGATGCATCGCCGATAGATCGGCGACAGGCCCTCAATAGCAGATCCACAAGTTCCTTGGCGGGATGGCCTGTCGGGCCCCGATCGTTGATGCATCCCCCCTTGAGCATGTCCCCCCCTTACGCTGCCCCCCAGCCTCCTGGGAGGGTCGCGAATGGATGCAACTGGAAGCGCGAGATACGACCGCGTGCGGGCATGGTGGCGAGGGAGGCGTCATCCGTGTGCTTGCTGTGCCCTCCAACATGCACCCCTGGGGCGGCTCTTTCTCGATGCTGCTTATCGTCCTGAGTTCCATACTTAGGGCTATAGGGGAAGCGCTGCGACATCTGTTCTGCGCTGGCGCCCGTCTGCGCGGGCCGCGGCGCGCCCTCCTCCTCCTCCTCCTCCTCCTTCTCCTCCTGCTGCTCCTCCTGCTCCTCCTTCTCCTCCTCCTCCTGCTCCTCCCTCTCCTCCTCCTCCTCCCTCTCCTCCTCCTCTTTCTCCTCCTCCTCCTCTTCCTCCTCCTGCTCCTCCTCCTCATCCTCATCCTCATCCTGCTCCTCCTCCTGCTCCTCCTCCTCCTCCTCATCCTGCTCCTCCTCCCTCTCCTCTTCCTCCTTCTCCTCCTCCTCCTCCTCCTCCTCCTCCTCCTGCTCCTCCTCCGTCTCCTCCTCCTCCTCCAAACTTTTTTCCTTATAAATAACTCCTCCCTGTCGCACCCCGAGGCAAGCTTTTAGGGCGGGCCGGGCGTTTCGCCTGAGACTTCATGACCATTTATGATTCTGAAGCCTTAAAGGTGGCAACAGTGTCACTTTGAAGGGCGGGTGGTTTTCAAAATGCGGCTCTCGTCGTAGCGCCGCGCACATTCGTTCTAAACATTTGAAAGAGCTTCACGGATTGAGGGCGGGTGGTTTTTTAAATGTGGTTTTCGCCTTAGTGCCGCGCACATTCGTTTTTAAAATTGGCAAAGGCTTCACGGATTCAGGGCGGGTCGTTTTCAAAATGTGGTTCTCGCCTTAGTGCCGCGCACATTCTTTTTACACATTCGCCAGAGTTTGACGAATTGAGGGCGGGCCGTTTTCAAAATGTGGTTTTCGTTTTAGCGCCGCGCACATTCGCTTTAAGCATTTGCAAGTGTCTCACGGATTGAAGGCGTTTCCTTTTCCAAAATGTGGTTCTCGCCTTAGCGCCGCGCACATTCGCTTTAACACGTTGCAAGAGTTTCACGGAGTGAGGGCAGCTCCTTTTCAAAATGTGGTTCTCGTTTTGGCGCCGCGCACATTCGTTTTCGAAAATTGGCAGAGCGTCACGGTTTCCCATGCTCAACGTACCAGAAATTGCGTCTAGGAAGGATTCAGGACTGTGCGGGTGCAGCGGTTATGTTGATTCGCGGTGCCGAAGTCTCAAAAATGGCGCCCTGGCAAGATTCTGGATCGTCAAGACGCAGCAGTCATGTTGATACGTGGCGTTAAAATCCCGAGAACCATGTTTCCTCCTCCTCCTCCTCCTCCTCCTTCTCCTCCTCCTCCTCCTCCTCCTCCTCCTCCTCCTCCTCCTCCTCCCCCCCCTCCTAGCCGTTTCGGCACGAGCTCCTTCAGGGGCCCGTGCTTGTGTTCACGTACTTCGAAGCGGCTCGTGAACACGGGCCACTTCACAAGCGCACGGCGCCTCCCGCTGCAGAGTCCAGCAGTGGCGGATGGTGCCAAACCCGCCCGATGTCTTGCCTGGAGCCAAGACTCCCCTGTGGAGTTGCAGCTGCGGGTGCCCGGACAATTGGGCGTCCAGGGTCATATGCAGAGGATGCGGCAAGGATGCCCCATTGCGAGTCGTCCAGGCAGCTCGTAAGGCATCAGCGGCACTCAAGTCTGGATCGGTTCGCGGGCCTCGTGGTGCCTGGGCTCAAGGGCCGCCGCCGATCGGACCCAGCAACAAGGAGCAGATGCGCCTCATCCAGGAGCCCAGGGCAGAGGTCGCACAGTTGGCGGGTAAGCAGCCCCCAGCTCGGCCGCCATGGCAGTCCAGCTCCCCTTCGCCGCAGCGGGACACGACGGGCGGATCGTCCGCCAAGCTCTCGTTCGCTGATGTGCTGCAGTTCCTCAAGGATGAGGGCGTTGACACGGCGAAGGTCGAAGAAGCAGAACAGGCAAAGAAGCAGGCTACGGCAGTCAAGCAGCCCACGTCCAGGGCCGCGCACTGGAAGGTCGAGAACCTCCGCACCAAGCTCTCCAAGGCGGAGGTGCGTGCGGCGGCGTTGCGCAAGCAACAGGAGGATCTTCAGGCCGAGATCGCTGAGCTGGACAAGAGCGTCGACAAGCTCAAAGAGGACCTCGGACAGGCTGAGCAGGCGCTTTTCCGCGTCCAAGCAGATGGAGATCCACTCAGAGCAGTCACGGCCACCCTGGACGAGGCCGTCGCCCAGTCTGATGAAGGAAAAGCTGCATTGGCCACCCTCCAGCGCCTGCAGGCCGAGGCTCAGGCCAAGAGGGCAGTGGCCAGCGGGCCTGATGCTGCAAGCGCTCCTCCTGGCACTGCTGCAGGCGGGGCGGGCAGCGGCGAGCACATTGCAGCCACGGCAGGCGACGGCGACGACATCGACATGGACTTGCTGGATGGAGAAGACTTCGATGAGCGCAGGGCAGCTTTTGACAAGGCCGCCCAGGAGCTCAAGGAGGCCAAAGGAGGAAGTCAGGAGCAGCTCGACGCCGCCAAGCGCAAGTACCTCTAGGCTGCGGAGGCCATTGGGGTCAAGCGGGCTCGGTCGTGCTCCTGAGCTGGACGCTGGAGTGGAGGGCCCTCCTCCAGACAGAGGTGTTAAGGAGCAGTCCAGCTTGAATGCCTTCCTGAGGTGCAACATCCTTGACCACGACTGGGAGCAGGCCACGGGATTCGCTGTGCCAGTCATGCGCGACGACCTGCTGTTCGACTCGATGCAGTTTCGCCAGCGTGACGGAACTTTGATGGAGTTGAACGAGAAGGATTGGCCCGTGCTCGGTTCCGCTTTGGCGAGGAGTACGTCGTCGTATCGCTTGGGCAAGGGAGGGAGGGATTCAGCCCCTCGAAGTCACACTCCCTTGCCCGCATCGTCGATGGCTTCCAGTTCGAGCACGGCGACTTCGGCATCTTCGACGATCCCCCAACTGGCCCGCTCCTCGGGGTTGGGGGCAAGTGCAGCGCAGGAACATACTCCCCAACTGGCCCGCTCCTCGGGGTTGGGGACATGTACAGCGCAGAGGCTACCGCCCCAACTGGCCCGCTCCTCGGGGTTGGGGGCATCTCCTAGCTGTGAGGCCAGACCTTCTTCGTGGATGGCATGCGCGTCGACGCAGACGGCTACGGCGGCGACGGCTGGTTCTTCGCTTGGCGCTAGGACGCAACAGTCGTCGCCGCCTGCCCTTCCCTCCCCCAGGGCACCCCTTCCACAGGAGGCGGGGGTCTCAGCGCGTGGGGAGGGGGGGCAGGATGTTTTGCTGGCGCAGCATCCAGACGCTGAAGCGAGATTGGCTGGCAGTGTGCGTGGCCTCCATCGTCCCCAAGTTGAGCCAGATGCGGATTCGAAAACACATTGGTTGAAATCCGACGGGAGGGCGGAAGTACCTCCCGCTCGTAATCTTCTTGCGGACGATCGTGTCTCTGGGGTAGCGCGGGGATCTGCAGACTTGTGCATTTTTGGAGCCAACGTCAACAGCTGGTCGACAGCGGACACTGTAGTGAACTGGGTCCGAGATCAAGCTGACGTCGGAGGATCTGGGGCGGAGTCTTGGGGTCTTGTCCAAAGCAAGTTTCAGGTGGTCACGCTCCAGGAGACAAGGTTGAAGTCCCCCGACAAGATCATCTCGGCCCAGAGTTGGGCCTGCAGGAATGGGTACCAGGTGTCTCTCGGGAAGGCCCTCAGCACTGGCGACGGGCCCTTGCAGAGCTCTGGAGGAGTCGGTATCTTGGTGGCTGGGGAGATCGCTTCGAGGCCCTTGGATCTTCCAGGTTTGGGCAGGTTCGACGGGAGGATCGTAGGTCGGGTCATCAACGCGGGGTTCGACCAGGGCCTTGAGATCTACAGTGTCTATCTCGTCAACGACATAGGCGTGACGGGCGAGAATTTAGAGCTTTTGGAAGTTCTGGGAGCGCTTCTTTTATGCAGTAAGCGTCCGTGGGTCGTGCAAGGTGATTGGAATTTCACGCCCGCGGCTCTCCAGCTATCAGGTTGGATACAGCATGTGCACGGTGTGCTAGCCGCCTCTGGCCAGGCAACCTGCTCGGCCTGCGCTCCTAGGACTGCCAGGGGAGAAGATATGGAGGAGGAGGAGCTGACGGAGCATGACGGGGGAGGAAGGGAGCTTGACTTCTTCGTCGTGTCATCGGCTATCAGTTCGTGCATCAAAGATGTCCAGGCTATCCGAGGAGCGCCTCTTTTTCCCCATTGCCCTGCGCTGCTTCGGTTGGGGAACCTCTGCCAGACGGCGGTGGTCCAGCAGCAGACGCGTTTCAAGCCGTTCAGCACCGCGCTCATGGGGCCTCTGCCGCAGGAAAGGGACATCCAATGGAGCGACCCTCTAAACTCAGATTTGAACACGCTCGCTCGGGAGTGGTTCGGGGAAGCCGAAGCTCGCCTGGTTGAAATTCATGGAATAAGTGATCAGAAAGGGTACGTTGGTCGCTCCGCTGGGCCCCAGTCTCGCAAAGTTCCCTTAGTTGCGCTGCTAGAGCGAGATCACCGCCGGCGATTTTCGAAGCAGACTGTCTGCTGGATCTCGTTCGAGGCCCTGCTCAAGAAGGCAAAGGCAATCAGTGCTGGGAACCCAGGTACCAAGGGAAGAGCTCTTTTGGGATCCTGGAAGCTTAAGCTGTTCGACATTTTGGAGGACCTCCAGCTGACGGAAGATGGGCCCACTAAGGCCCAGTTGCACACCATTGTTAGGGCGGCATCGGGAGAAGGTTCCTGGAACGACGACGTCAATGGGGCCATCTGCAAAGAGTGCACTCGTCGCCAGAGGCTGGACGCGGCGTCGCAGCTCGCTAAGTGGAAGGAATGGGCCAAGAGTGCCGTCTCTGGAGGTGGTAAAGCGGCGCATGCCTTCTCCAAGCAGCAGGTCTCGTGTGGTTTTTCGCGAGGTTCGTCGGATGATCCTCGGCTCCCAGTGGCTGGTCAGGCCGCAGTGCAAGAGCTTGTCGATGCGTGGCATCCGATGTGGTTTCGAGCTGGCCGCGGGCCCGCACCGAGCTCCTGGGAAGTTCCTGCCGACGAGCCTGCCCTTTCCCCGCTCAGACTGGAGGATTTACATCGAGTTTGTAAGATGTACGGGCCCGCGGCGGGCCTAGGCTGGGATGGATTTCACCCGAGGTGGATTTTGCAGCTGCCCGAAAGTTACCAGTTTCGGCTCCTGGAGATTTTGACGCTCTTCGAGGTCGACCCTGGGGCCGTCGTGATGTTCCTGACCAATGTGGTTTTCTTGGACAAACCAACGGGAGGGGTCAGGCCGATCGGTTTGTTATGCCTTTTCACGAAGCTCTGGAGCCGATTGAGGCAGCCGTATTGCCGCTCATGGGAAAAGTCCCACGTGTACGAGTTTTTCTGGGGCTCAGGGTCCGACACAACGTGCGAGAGGGCCGGATGGGTCCACAACTTGCTCGGGGCGCATTGTCGTAAAGCAGGGTTCGAATCAGCGTCGGCTCTCTTGGACTTGGCTAAGTTCTATGAGAATGTCAACCACGGGGACCTCCTGGTTGCAGCTAAACGGTTTGGGTTCCCAGTCAGGCTGGTCAAAGCGTACTGTACCATCTATGCTGGCTACCGTGTGCTTCTTTACGGGGGAGCTTCGTCGGCCGTCGTCGAATCGAACGGGGCTATCGTGGCTGGGTGCTCGGGGGCTACGACGTTCGCCAAGATGTTGCTACTAGGACCGCTATTGGAGGCCCGTGAGAGCAGGAACTTGTTGTATGTGCGTAATGTGGTGGACGACATCACTGTTCAGTGTTGCGGGCCCAAGCATCAGGTGGCGGCCCAACTGGCTGGGGGAGTAGAGTCTCTGATCAAGAGTTTCAAGCAGCTGCAGCTCCCTGTGGCGTTTAAGAAGTGCGCCTACCTTTGCTCGAAGGAGGTTGAGGCGCACCTGTCCATGGCCTGGTCCCTCCCCACCTCTTGCCGCACCGACACGGCGAGGAATCTTGGGACCAACGCTACCTTGGGAGGCCTCCGCAGGATCGGTATTCAGAACTCAAGGTTTGCAGGTGCGTCGCGCAGGGCCAGGAGGCTCAAGATACTACCAGGAGCTGGAGCCGACATCGGGATGGTTCACAGGATGGGGCCAGTGGCATCGGCCCTATGGGGATCATCGGTCTCTGGGGTGGCCCCCACAAAAATGGCTGGGCTCCGTATCGGTGCTGCTAGTTCCCTAGGCAGGCTCCCTAAAGGTGCTTCGGTTGGGCTCAGGATGTACACGTACGGGCTTGGGGTCAAGGTAGACCCTCTGGTGGTTTACGTGGGGCACGTGCTTTTCATGTGGGCGACTGCTGTTTGGGAAGCTGTCCCTCACGTTCAGGTGTTGGCCAATACCATGAGGGTCTCGATCGCCAAGTTTCAGAATTCAGCTCAGCCCTGGAGGTCAGCGTCTTCCCCCAGCGACGTCGCGCTTTTAACGTTGCGGGGCATAGGCTGGGACTTTGTAGACCAGCACACCATCAAAGATGACTTGAACGTTGTGCATGACTTGCTCAGGCTCTCCCCGATGCAGGTCTGGTCTATGATCAGGCAAGGTGCCGTGCGAGCGTCAGATAGGCATGCCCTTCTCTTGCAGAATGGCCTTGATGGGCCACCTGTTTACCCTATCTTCTGGGATGGCATTTCCAGGATGTTCAAGGAGAAGTCCGAAACCTGGGGGAAGCACCATCAGAGATGTTTAAGAGGTTTGGTCTCGGGAGTTCACTGGCCCCAAGCCCGACTTCATGCTCACAACCTCCACGATGATGATCTTTGTCAAGTGTGCAAGGGGGCCCCAGGTACTTTGTGGCACCGTCAGTACGAGTGCCCTGCGCATGAAGCCCGGCGGCGAGACCATGCGAGTGCTCACTTGTGTAGGTGTGCGCAGAGAGTGAAGCAGTTCGGGCCGCTCATGGCGGAGAGGTTCGCGAGGCGCATCTTTCCTCACCCTCGCTCGCTCTTCGACGTCGAGGAGCCCACGCAAACAGTTCACTGGCACGAGAGGCCCGAGACGGGGCTTTTGACGGGGTTGTTATTCCTGGACGGGTCGGCCAAATACATGGGCCTCGATGGACTCACTCGGGCTGGTTGGAGTATCGTATCGGTCGACAGGTTTGGGGAGTTGCTCTCGGCGGCCTATGGTCCAGTTCCTCTGAGTGCGGCCCCGCAGCAAACTAGCAAAGATGGGGAAGACTATGCTGTATATATGCTAACGCAAGTTGGTCTTCCCCCGTTTCAATGCTATATAGATTGCCAGAGCACTCTGGATTCGCTGTCTCGGGGCCCTGGGTTCGCGGAGGGCCCTGGAGCCCC